CACCACAGCGTCGGGGGCAAAATCACAGCGTCGGGGTAAAAATTCACAGCGTCGGGGCCCCCGACGCTCAAATGCGCTGGCGAGAACCCTGCAAACCTTTTGTTTTCTTGAATCTTTGATGTTCTCTTGTTCAATACTTGGTGAGTATAAATTACTTACTCTTTAGAAAGTCTCGGAATGAAGGCAGGGTTGGACAAGTTTTCAAAAATCCACTTGCCTTATCGGGCAAGTACATGGTCATTTCCACTTGCCTGAACCAACTTTTTACTTGCCCAAAATATGACACATTTCTATGCATTTTACTAGCAGAAAGAGTTTATAATGTTGGATGCTTTAGTTATCAAAATTGTTTAAAACTTGGTTAAAATACTGCAGGGGCTAATACTTTGCATCCAAAAAATGTACTTGCCGATTCGGGCAAGTACTGGGGGATATTTACTTGCCCGAACAGTGCTTTTACTTATATATATATATATAGTTGGTTTATTGTTTCAATTGAAAGCAATACACTAAAATACATTGCAGCGACTTGTACATAGTACAAGTCGCTGAATTATGCATATTAGGCAGTTACAAGAAATGAATAAAATCTATAGAAACTACTATACATAGCAAAATAATTAAAATAATTAGACAATAATCATAATAAAAATTACCACACACTGATAGGTTACCTGACGTTGTTCAGAAGTGCAGTAAAGTATGGAATGGGGCTGTTTTTATATCTGTTGGATCTTGCCATCGGAATACAGAGCTGATTATTGCCCTTTAAATTTCTGTTGTGAACATCTTTCCGTAGCGGGGGCAGCCAGTTTCTAAACGTCGGCGAATTCAACAGAGATTTGGCAAATTTAAGGCTTAGCGATTCTCGTCTAGTTTTCAAGGTACAGAGGCCAAAATGGGAAAGGGCTTCATCATAACATGAGTATTGAGGGCCTAAAATTATTCTTAGCGCACGTTTCTGTATTCGTTCTAGTTTATCGGATTGTTGATGTGTTATATTGGCATTCCATACAGGGGCAGCATATTCAACGGTTGGTCGTATATATAATAAATAGATTTCGCAAAGGTCATTGATGGGAAGGCCGAAACGTTTTAATTTCTTTAACCAGTAGAGCCGTGAGCTTGCTTTTGTCGTTATGACCTCTACGTGCTTATCCCATTTGATATCCGCTGTCAACCACAGTCCAAGTATGCATGCCACTTCTGTATGCTCAAGGACTTTACCATTAAGAAGGATATCGGGGGGAGGAGGAGGGTCGTTAATAAAAGTGATGTTCATTATTTTGCACTTATCTTCATTTAGTGACATATGATTTTCTGACGACCACATTTCAAGTTGATTAACCGATGTTTGCATCGAGGTTGGTACACTTAATAATCTGCTTTCCTTTAAAGTCAGATCATCTACGTATTTCCATCTATCCACAAAAGATTCCATTGCCTCATTTACAAATACTAAAAAGAGAACAGGCCCTAATTTGGTTCCCTGAGGAACTCCTGATGAAATTCTCTCCCAACTAGAAGTTGCGCCTCTGTACCGAACACACTGTGTACGTTCACTGAGAAAATCACTTATCCATGGTACAATAGAAGTACGTACACCACAAGTTAACAGTTTATGGATTAATACTGTATGATCAATTTTATCAAATGCCTTGCTAAAATCAGTTAACAGGACAGTCTGGATAGTTTTAGGGGTGTCGGCGCCAAGAAGTATTGAGTCAACCAAACTAGTGAGGTAGTGAACAGATGATCGCCCCCTTCTACTGCCATATTGGTTAGGGTCAAGAACGTCGCTTATGTCAAGAAGGATCCATTTTGTGATAAAAGATTCAAACGTTTTTATCAAGATAGAAGTGAGTGATATGGGACGCAGATTTTCAACTGTTGCAGGGCTTTTCTTTGGAATGGGTGAAATTATGGCTTCTTTCCACTGTTTGGGTATTCGTCCCTCATCCAAAGAACAGTTGAAAATATGTGCCAATATATCACTCAATTCAACGGCAAAGGTTTTGACAATCTTGGGGGACAGATTATCGGGACCACAGCTTTTTCTTGCATCAATGCGTTTTAAAATTTCGTAGACCTCCCAGGAATGTACTTGTGGTGGTCTGGAAGGAGAAGGTAAGTAAGATGGCAATGATTCAGGATCTAAACATGGAAGTTGGTTAACGATGTCTGAAAAGTGACGGTTGATCACATCAGCAATCTCCTTGTCCGTTAAGAACGTAGCGCTGGGGACGGAAACTGATAAGCTACGCCGAAAATTTAGTATATTTCGTAGATGCATGTGCCACTTAGCTGGGTTCTCCTTCTTAAGCACCTGAATCTTACGCAAATAATGTCTTTTCTTTGCCTTCACACACAAGCGATTCACATTGTTTCTAAGCTTTCTATACAATGGCATATTTCCAGAGTGAAAAGCCCGCTGTCGCTTCTTGATAACAACTTTAATTTGGGGAGTAATCCATTCTTTGTCAGATTTGTGTTTCACAAAGGATTTCATTGGAAAATGTTGATCTATTTCTGAATGAAGGGTTTGATACAATATATCTACTTTTGTTTGAATATCAGGGGCATCAAAAACTTCTGTCCAGGGGTGCGAGGAAATCCACCGACCGAAAGAGCGCACTTCAGAGTCTTTAAAGGAACGAAATTGTGTTCTTATTTTAGAATTAACAGGTATATGATCACAGGGAGACCATATAACCGTGTTGTGGTCACTCATTCCCAAGGGCTCCTTGTTTAAGGTCTAATATCTGGCTAGACGTGGTCTCTTGGTGCTGGTTTACGCTCGGTTCAGTTCAGAGTCAACTTGTCTTGTGCTTGTGTGAAGCTGGCAGTGTCTCTAGTAGAGCATGTCGAATCGGTTTACACAAAATATGATTTCCCTCAAAATCTCAAATGAGCTGTTTTACTTTACAAGAAAAAGTCAGTGTTAAGTACATTCTTATTCAATATATTTTAGAGAGGGATTGAGTGTACATGTAAGATCACTCCTGTGTTATCAACCACAACAAACTTGGCAATCCAAATTTCATTACAACCTGCAAGCAGACATTGGGATAAGGGAAATTGTTGACATTTTCTGTCACCCAACATCTGCTTGGAGATCAAGTTCACCTCTGACCCAGGGTCACTAAAGGTCAAGGTCAAGCCCCATACCCCAGCTGGAATATCAGGTTACAGTCTACCAGCTGAGCTGAAGTTAAAGGGTTTAAATACCCCACCTACAATATTGTCCTGGCTTCAACTCTACAATAACTAAAAACATCATGTAAGTAGATATGGATCTAAGCAAAATTAGTCTACATATACGTTAACGTCAGAATTATAATATATGCATATATATTATCTAATGTATTCAGTATGTGTACATAGTAAAAAATTACATAATATTTGAGGTAGGTATTAAAAGGAACAGTACATAGTAGTATATTATACAAAGCAAATTGAAATGTCAACATTAAGAAAAATGTACCAAACATGCCTATCCACCCATCCATGCAATCAAATACATCAAAATTATGTCTGCAGAAAATTTCTAACAAAAAAATACAGCAGAAAACAAGAAACAGTAGAGAAAACTAAAAAAAACAATAATATTATACACCTATCAGAGGTTGAAATAACGTTTGTTTAGTGTGATCAAATCTGCACATAATTTTCACCAACATGACCCTCCCACCAAAAATAAACAAAAACACATGTTAACCTGCATAACAAAAGGGTGTGAAAAACCAAGTGTTTCTGAGTCCATATGTGTCACAAAAACGTGTCAAAACTGATAAAAACTGTCCCCTGGGATCTTTCCAATCATCCAACAATCTCATCACAACAAACTGTCCATAGTCTCAGTAGCAGGCTTATAGAACTGGGGGTTTGGTGGTCTTCGGCTGTTTTCTGATTAGCCTCCGTAGCAGGCTTATAGAACTGGGGGTTTGGTGGTCTTCAGCTGTTTTCTGATTAGGTCCATTCTAAAAACGGGGGTAATTCAACCAGGCCGGCTTTGTTGTCTATATGCAATCAGAAAATAGCACATAAAACCTCCCAAAGACCCCCAAAACCCCCAGTTTTTGTCATGCTATGGAGGCTAACTGTCCAGTCAACCGGTTTTCTCATTTAGTACCAGCTATAAATAACATCTAGTGCGTAACTTCCCTTCAAACCAAAACGGGTAACCGACCGAAAATCCGGCATCACAAAAACATCTAGACTCTCACAAAAGACAAGAAAATGCGACAGGAAATATTTAAAGTAGACCAGAGTGTCCACAGATGGTGTCTTTCTGGGTTAAACTTTTCGCGAATTGTCAAAACGCACCACAACACACATCAGCTGAACACAGCTGGAAACAACATCAACATAGACTTTGATTGACAGCTCGACAGACGACGTTTTGACGCATATAGCGGGGGGGGGGTGTCTTTTCTGTATGTGAGCAACAAACAGTATGAAACACTCTGGATATGGTAAGTAATACATGGAATATAGACGACATACTGTTCAATAATTAGTCCCAGGTTGCCGAACACACTGAGCGGCCGTATTTTTAGTACAAAGCCCTTACAGTGTACCACCGCCCACATACGGTCTAGTCTGAATCACAACTGGGAAAAAAGGAAAGAAAAAAACTCCGCAACTCTGCTAAAGCTACCGATCTTAACTCTAAAACTAACACACAGACAGGGCATAGATGTACACAGTTCAGACGGTAGATTTCCCGCTGGAGAGAAGAGTTTATTTGGCGGGCGGACACCCTAACCCACCCCCGTAGCGATCGTTCCCTACTGCTCTAGTCTAATTTGCTTTCCACATTCCGGTGACTTCCGCGGACCAAATACGCCAAGAATTCAATCCGATTTCTCATTCTACAAATAACTAAAACCTACAAGTATACATCTAACCCCTGCCTTAAACCTTAGTCTTGAAGTATGAGTGTGTCTTGAGGGAGAATGTTGAGATTTAAAGACTTTGGAGAAAAAGTTCTTCCTTACCTCCCTGCTTGTCCCACCCTTACTGTCGTCCCATGAAAACAAAAATGGCGGATTTCCCTCATGACGTCATTTCCGCCAGGAAGTGGCCGCTGGCAGGTCAAAGGTCGACGTTCCGCCTGGGTGAATTTTACATCGTGTGTCAGAAAACATTTTTCGGGATAAAAAAATCAACTCAAAGAAGATTCTTTTTGTAATAAAAAGCTTTTATTCCGTATAACGAACATCTATCCTTGCTAATGTGTGGGTTTTAGAATGTTTTTGCTATTCCTATCTTCTTTTATCTTTAACTAACTTTGGCTCTGACCTTGAAATAAAAATAGAGGGAAACCTTATCTGAACAAGCAATTACTCATCACAATTTCCGGTGAGTCAAACCCGGGAACAGCTTTTATTCCTGTCAAAGTCATTTCCGGTTAGGTTTGCTTCTACCAGCATGATACGTGATACTGATAGGGGGGTCCGTTACTAAATTTTACCATGGTTTTACTAAAATAAAAACATACGATTTTACATAGAAATTTTGACCTAAATATACGAAATGTCATAGTGAATCAAGTAAAAAGGATTACAACTTGTAAAACCAACGAATCTTACGAAATTCAGAATATCCGACGAACGGTCCATCCGTTTTACTTTGTAGGAAGTTAGCGTTAGCAGCAGTTATTATCCGCACCGCTAGAGGCGCTGTTGCACGAAGTAACAAGCATTGTACTGATTGTAGGCAAAGTTTTACGTTAACACGATACATATCATAAACGACTCTTGTCCAAACTATTTGGATAACGTAAACAATCATATTGAAATGAAGCATATCTTCGGTTTTCAAAGATGTGGTCATATTCACGTTTGACGTATAACGTTAACTTGTGACTGGCTTTTTGGGAGATATGAGTGGGCAAGGTTTGAAACACGTACTTAGTACTTAAAATACTTAACAATATTGTACAACATAGATTCAGAACAGAAAAGACAAGTAAAAACAGATACATCATAATCTGATTTGCGTCACATAATAACGTTAATAATTGATATTCAGATGATAATTCTGAGCATTATGATACTAAATTGTAGCATACGGTTCTTGTCTAAAACGCACATTACTATATAGTGAAAAACTATAGCATACTAATGTTGCAAGACTAACTTTATCTATATAATGACGAACTCTGGAGTATCAGTATATTGCACCATAGCAACATCATAGTATTACCGTATATTAACAAACTTCTTGAATATACATAACGTTATATTTACACTGCATCATAGCTACATATTACTGCATTCCTAGAATAATAAAAAGTATCATATTGACTTTTGTATCACGACCGCAGACGTATTGTACGAAGTTAAAGTCCAAATTTCTTGCTTCGCGTTTAGTTTTCAAGTCAATCTCTGCTGTGTCGGTCACAAGATGCAGCAATCTGAGAAAGAAAAGGCAAGAAACATGTGCTTGATTCATTCGTGATATCAAAAACCAAACCTTACAGCAGGGATAAAACTTCCTGAATTGCAGAAAGTTAGCGTACACAAATGACAAATTACAACGGACAGGTCGTGTGGCGCGACGGCAGCGTGCGCGACTCGGAATCAAGAGGTCCCGGGTTCGAGTCCTGACATGCCATCGATCTTGTTCCCTTGGGAAAGGCACTTCACACGACTTGAAAGTGAGTATTGTATTGTCCCCTGTGTCGGTGGCGGCATTAATATAAGTTGAAAAAAACTTGAGTGTGCCATCACCACGTCTTGTGATTACATGTTGGAATATAAAAATAAAATTAGACACGAACCTTTGTCGTCCAAATTAACCCCCATGTCTGCCGTGTTGATCGGCGTTTTTATCAGCCGTTTCCAGTTCAGTACTGTCCCCACAGGGTTGCTGAATCGGCTGCTGAGTTTCTCTATAGCGCCCTTCATGTACTCTGTGTACAGGCCTTCTGATTGGTCCTTCAGTCCCGTAGCTCTGTCCGAAAACAGAGACAACTTTTTCCCCAACGCACCGTTACCTGAGATAACAAAGATATACTTTTTAATATTAGTGAGCCCAAAATGTATAGCTAGAAAGGTAACAGTTACAAAGCAAATTCACATGGGGACGCCTTCCAACTCTGTCCTGCCATTTGCCACATAATGTAACCCGATACTTGTATGTATGTGTGTTCATTTCTATCCACTTGCTTGTTTGAAGGTAGAAGACCTTACGAAAGTGGGCGCAATCTTATTTTGTTATACCGATAATATTTCTAAGCCATCCATGCATAGAACTAGATAGGCATAGTTCTGGATACGCCACCGAATACATATAATCTTCTCGGGGAAGTTCCCCGAGAAGATTATATGTATTCGGTGGCGTATCCAGCCGAAAGTAAGATACTCGTAGCAGCTTAAACCTGGAGCGAGTATGTAGGAGTTGTAGATGACGATAGCGATCGGGACAGTGCTTTATCTAAGACCTCGCTCAGGCAAGGTTCTGCATACGATACAAAGCCACATACGCCACCGAAAGCATTTATTAAACCTTCTAGGAAACGGTAATCTAAGTGGTTTAACCTGGAGCGAGCGTGTAGGACTCGTAAAAGACGATGGCGTTCTCCCTGTCGTCTATAACATGCGGCCACCACTGTTCCACATGTTGAGCGTACTCCCTGGCATACATGGCCACTACACCGGTGTGTGGTGTGGCGTAGCGCGGGGACAGGGCCGGGTTCAGGTCTGGAGACCTGTTCTCAGGGTCTACCACTGCCATCTCCTGCATGGGAGACAACAACATCGTAAGTTAGTCAATAGTTACTGTAAACGGTATGTGTATCGGCTGGCCGGTGTGCGGGGTAGCGTTAATTCTTACCTGATACAGCGCGATGCGTAGCCCAGCCAGAAGAAGGAAGCAGGACAAGCCGATCTTGGCGTAGTTCTCCTGCATCAGAGTTCCGATCACTCCTGTAGTGGTCAGGTTCTGATCCAGACCCTGCAACATCAGGGAAATAAGGTTATTGGAGACCACCGGGAGGCCCTGGGTGTCATTGGAAGCCCCTGTAGATTATGATAAGCCTTGAGAATCACTTGGAAGCCTTGGAGAACATTATGGGGCCTTGGAGAACATTGGGATGCGTTAGATAACATTGGGAAACCTTGGAGATCATGGGACGATCTTGAAGAACATTGTGAGGCATTGGAGACCATTGGAAGACCTTGAAGATCATGGAAAATCTTGAAGAACACTGGGAGGCCTTAGAAAACACTAGGAGGCATTGGAGAACATTGTGTAAGACGCCATTGATCTGCGCCCTCTAGCGGACTAAAGGAAATCCTTACCTGTAGATAGTCGTGTAGCCGTTGTCTGTCGGTAGGATTTGTGATGTCACTGTTTCGCTTGTTGACGGCATAGTTGATAGACAGGGCGTCTTGTAGATCGTGTAGAACGCCGTTGATCTGGTCTAAGACGTCTTGCTTCAGCTCCTGCTGGACCACGCACCTGATGTCCTCCAGGGTGGGGGACAGGGAGGCTGCGGGGAAGATCAGCTCCCAAAGCTCACCGAAAATCACCTGCAGATGGAGGAAAATTGCTCATCTCCAAGTAGTTGTCATTGTGCGGATGGCACGTTCAGCACCAAGGACAGGCACCGTTTGCACCGAAACATGTTGGGGAATATGTCCGTAAGACTGGGCTTGTAAGAATCCTGTAATCGCCAGGCTGATCTTACTGTGGCAAGGCATGTGGCCAACTGGGCAACTGTAGTGTCTATTAATTTTTGATTTATTGAAATTGCAACAGTGCAATACACGCAGAACAGAGGCAGCTGTTGCTGGTGTTGTGTCCCACACATAGAAACGAATACTGGACAGACAATACTCATTTTCACTTGAGTCTAGTGAGGAAAGTCGTGTAAAGTACCTTTCCCAAGGGCACAAGGTCGGTGGCATGTCAGGACTCGAATCCGGGACCTCTTGGTTCCGAGTCGAGCACTCTGCCGTTCCATTGTCCATTCAGTTTCTAGTTCTTGATGGAAACTAGCTGCTTGGCCAATTGGCTACTACCTTGCAAAAGTAGGATCTCATTGGAGATTCAACAATGTTGTCTAATTTTCTTTTCTTTAAATTCCTCAAAACTCTTTTCATTAAATTCCTTAGAACTCTTTTCATTAAATTCCTTAAAACTATTTTCTTTAAATTCCTTAGAACTGCTGTACAGGGACACCCATTGTCACCAGGCACAATAGTATGAAACAGCTGAAAACACCGTCTATAACGGTTTTGTCGGCTGAACAATCCTGTATTGTTAAAGCCGCCTTTTACTAACACACCAGCTTCGCAGGCACGCGATCGCGGCATGTTATCTTACATGGAATGACCAGATATATAATCTCCAAGCAGATCCCTTTCGGTGGCAAAAAGACAGTATCAAATTGGCCAGACAGTATCCATTGGTCAGATCCGACGTTGGTGGGGGGAGCGACAAAAAAGGCCATATATAAAAAGCTAACAATCATTCCCCCACAACCTCTGCTTGGAGAGTACAGATATACTGATATACGTGTACACACCTGTCCGAGACCCCCCACGACGGCACCTTTGCTCCGTCTTGGTTTCTCCTTGGCCGCAGGTTTGGGGCTATCCTCTGGGTCCGTCTGGACCTTGGCCTTGTGCGGCGCTGTTCTCGGATCCACCGCTCCGTTCACCATGAGTTTCGCGAGTTCCGAGGCGGCAGCGGCGGCCGGGTCTACCGCGTTCTCATCAAACACCTGCTTGGAAACCCTGTCTCCCATCTGAAGAAATAAACAAACAAATAAACAAACAAACAAACATCCAAAGAAACAAATAAACGCTGGGTCTACCGCGTTTTCATCGAAAACCTGCTTGGAAACCCTGTCTCCCATCTGAAGAAATAAACAAACAAATAAACAAACAAACATCCAAAGAAACAAATAAACGCTGGGTCTACCGCGTTTTCATCGAAAACCTGCTTGGAAACCCTGTCACCCATCTGCAGAAGAAATAAACAAACAAGTAAGCCAAGAAGCAGTTACTCAAGCAACTGGATATGATTTTGGAAACGGTCAGACTTTAAGTTATTCAGAATATTTCAAGTTTTGCTGCCTTGAAATCGCACTGGATGTCTTTAATAGAAGTCCACTTGAAGGCTGCCAATTCATCTACACTCAGACACAAGCATCACAAATTAAGTGCTTTCGCGCGATCGGCTGCTTTGAAGTTCCATTGTACTATTTACACGTGTCCGGGCTATATCAGTACAACGTTGTGGCAACAGTGATCCGCTGTGCGTTATTTTTACAAAGTATTGACTGCAAACATTACGTCCGGTATGTCTCAGCCCATGCTCATAAGACATATTCTCAACCAGACTAACTATGCTGGCTATATACAGGAGAATATTTGCCAGGGGAGTTTGGCCGCCTTGTAGGTTTGACTGGCCATTTCGGAGGGAAAGAAACTACCTCGCCACGGCCGGACTCCCTTGGCCAATTTTACTTACTTGCCAAATCCGTATTCCCGTAGAAAGGATTGGTGGATGCTACATCAGACACAGTTCAGGATAGTCCACGCGTATCCAGAACCGTGCCTCGGGTAGATCTGCGTTCTTGGATACGCGGAGACCACCCAAAGCTATCCAGTGTCTGATCCTAACCCTGACCCATTGATACAGAACTAGTTCCAGGTACGACAGGACTTAAACCTAAGAAACCTGGCGTAGGAGTTCAAGGTATGTGACCGTGACGACAACAACGACTGTGCAAGTACTACACTACAACAGAGACTATCCAGAACCGTGCCTGATCCTAAGACCTAACCCTAACCCATTCAGACATGGAACTAGATAGGAACGGTTCTCAATACAGCACACCTGTCCTCTGAGCAATGTTAAGGTAACGGGCCTTTAGAAAGGCAGCCTGGCGTAGTAAATATGTGACCGTGAAGACTGGGCACGGAGAGCAACGAGAGCATAACAAACAACAACCAAGGATCGTTACGTTATGAGAGCAAATTTTAGTCCCCACAAGACTCCTTTGCAGGCTGAATAATAAATGATAATAATGAAATACCTTTATTGTACATTCATGCCACGACGGGCTAGGTACAGGTCAAGACATATAACAGACATATGTAGAAAAGTGAAGACAAAAGATACACTACTTGACTTAGACATACATACATACATACATACATACATAAATAGATACATACATAAGGAACATACAAGGTACTATACTAGGCTAATACAAAGTTTCTAGTTACTGAGCTAATACAGGGTGGTCAATAATAGTAGAAATCGGCCTAAAAAGGAATGTAACTGTCTAGGAGAGTTGGTCGTGCAGGCAAACTAGACCCTCTATGACCGGCCAACTCCCCTGGCCAGCTACATTCCTTTCTAGGCTGATTTCTACTGTTTATTCAGCCTGCAAAGGAGTCTGGTGGAGACTACCCCACACCTACACCTTACCTTCAGTTAGGCTGACAGTCGGGCTGGTCAGGACACTTCAGGCTGCTTCCTGGTGTACGATAGTTTAAACATTGACGGGTTTCGGGACGTCCATTCTATTCCTTCTGTAGTGAAGCAAAAAAGCAAACCACAAACAACAGCTACCGGATCCTGGTCTCGGTTGTAGGTACAATCAGCTACATGGAATTTTGTGAACGTTGTTCTACTATAAGGTTATAGATAGTTTATGCCATTATGATAGTCTAGAATCACCGTTAGATTCTGTACGACAACATTCGGCAACGTTGGTAATGTTTTAACTCGGCGTTTCGCGTTGCAGGGCGGCGATTGGCTTAGAGTGGCCACGTGACCGCAGGAGCCGGAGCCGGAACTCCAGAACACGTCACTGACCTTTGAACAAGAACCGCCCACAGGTAAACAGCACTAGGTGTGAGTAGTACAGGTGGAGCCGTCTGTATAGAAAAATCGGGAGGGTCGAGCTCCCACTTTTCCTACACAGAGGGTTGATCATATTTCTTGAAAAATGTTAAACGTATGTGTACGTAATCTTCAAAGTTAAAACTTTATGATGCCCGTCAACTAGTTGACAACTATCTTAACATTACATGGTTATTGCAGTAAGTAGGCATCTAACGCAAGGTTGCAATACACGTATGTTTCCGTCTTGGTTGAAAATCCTAAATGACGTGTAGTACGTCTAAGGTGAGTAGAGTTTTGTATGTCGAATCAACCTTGTTTCACTAATGTCGTTATGCATTTGGCCATTTCTTTGTTCATGCACTTTCTGGTGCATTTGACTTCTGTCCTTTTTCGTCTGTAAATGTTTGGGACATCATTTCAACTGTTGCCTGTCCTGTACATATTTTAGTCACGGTAAGGCTGACACTGTCTGTGACGTGTGCCTGGACCTGTCCTGTAGCCTGTCCTAGGCCTGTTGTGTCGATGTCCTGTATTGTTAGCATTGTGCCATTGGGAAAGGCCTGCTCTGTCCCGACTGTACCCTGGGCCTGTTTTGTCTGGCCTGTAGCCTGGGCCTGTTCTGTAGACTGAGCATGTTCTCTAGCCTGTTCTGTCCCGTCCGTAGCTTTAGCCTGTTCTATAGCCTGGCCTGTTGTGTCGATGACCTGCCCTGTAGACTGAGCCTGTTCTCTAGCCTGGCCTGCTGTGTCGATGACCTGCCCTGTAGACTGAGCCTGTTCTCTAGCCTGGCCTGCTGTGTCGATGACCTGCCCTGAAGCCTGAGCCTGTTCTCTAGCCTGGCCTGCTGTGTCGATGACCTGCCCTGTAGCCTGAGCCTGTTCTCTAGCCTGGCCTGTTGTGTCGATGACCTGCCCTGTAGCCTGAGCCTGTTCTCTAGCCTGGCCTGTTGTGTCGATGACCTGCCCTGTAGCCTGGGCCTGTTCTCTAGCCTGGCCTGCTGTGTCGATGACCTGCCCTGTAGCCTGAGCCTGTTCTCTAGCCTGGCCTGTTTGGTCGATGACCTGCCCTGTAGCCGGGGCCTGTTCTCTAGCCTGTTCTGTCCCGCCTGTAGCCTGGGCCTGTCCTATAGCCTGGCCTGTTGTATCGATGACCTGTACCGTTAGCGTCGTGTCCTGTGAAGCCTGGCTGTGCGGTCTCCACTGTCTGCCGTTCCGGCACCGTTTCACACAGCAGAACATCTTCTTCAGTTTGTCCCGAAAGTTCCTCCCTAACAGCGCGTAGAGAAAAGGGTTGGCCACGGAGTTGAAGACGGCGAAGGAAAGCGCCACGCTGATCGCCTCGTACTCCTCTCTCCTGACGTACCTGGGGATCAGGAAGGAGATAACGTGGAATGGCAGCCAGTTGGCCAGGAACAGGGCCGTCACCACCAGAACCTGACAATGTAGATATAGTACACAATGTAGTTACAGTAAAAGCATGGCGACTAGGCCAGATTGTTTTTAGATAGCTTGTCAGCATAGGTACACAGATATATAATAACTTATTTTAGTACACTGTTCATGCGTCTCAATAGTTTATAGATGGCAATTGCATTTCAGCAAAGACGTATTTAGATAGCTTGTTAACGTTAGGTCGCAACATTTGTTATGTAATAATAAGTAGTATGTTAATCTGAAGTGTAACCGACACTGTTAACTGTTAGTAATTAATTATGTTCTTGTTGTGAGGGCTAGCCCTTTATAACAGCCTCCGGCTAGTTGGGCAGTCCTGGCTGTATATATCTGTTTATACAGTCTAATAAATCAAATCAAATCAAATCAAATCACCATGAGGTAGGCCTGGTCGTCTGTCCTGCTCTCCCGAACCGCTAGGCGGCGCGACCGGTGTACTGTGACCACAATCCGCACGTACAGGGGTATTATCACGCAGCCGGGCAGAACATACCCGAACAGAAAATCTAGCAAGATCATCACAAAGAAAGGGTGGCTTGTATCGGACGACTCGAGCTTGAGAACGACGCACGAGGCTCCGGAGTGCAAACTGGCGCTTTTAAAGCTCCAGTCGTTGGTGACGACGTTCCTAGCGACCGTGTCGATAACTGCAGCGAGGGCGGCCGCCGTCCAGGCCACAGCGCAGGTCGCACCCGCGTGTTTCACCGTGCCGTGTCGTCTGGTGCTCAGCGGGTCTGTGATCGCTCTGTACCTGTAGGGAACGAGAAATGGCCATCATGAAAGTTCATCTGTGTTGGTAGTTACATGTTTAAAGTTAAAACTTTTGGTCCAGCACAAAAAAT